CATCCAAAATCCATGAACAATGTATTTATGACTTATTCATACCATTACATATCTTTAAACCTTGTTGTCATGAGTTGTAGCTACTCTTTTGCATTGCATAAGCTTCAATTTGCATTAGCCTTCAAATTTTGAGTTGTGTGCATTATTTGAAAAACTGAGATTATCATTGAATTCCTTGTGAAATTTCATGTGAGATAGGCTAAAATTTCATTAAATTTGGTTGAGTTTTGAATGATTTACGTGGTTACTATTTTCATGTTTTGGCTTGTTTTTTTTTTCATCTTGCCTTGGCCCAAGTCATTTGCTTGTTTAAGTACTTAAGTTTTAGGGGTGTCAAAATACATGGATGTATCGCCACCCCAGTGGTTAAACCTTCACTCTCTCATACGCCTTGCATTGCTCGAACCTGGGTTCGATCCACAGTGGAGATCAACCCTTTTATTTATTTTCATATTTGCCTTGTTTTCTTTATTTTGTGTATCTTTTTCCCCCATTCAACAAGCGCGCGCCTTGGCTCAGTTGGTATTCCAAGGGTGGTGGGTTCAACACCCACCAGACGCCTCCCTCTCTTTTTATCACTATTTTCTCTTGTTTTTTATTCAATTGTTATTAAATTTATAAAAGTTGTAACTTCTTCATTTTTTATTATTTTTTATCGGTTCTTTTTGCAACTATCTTGTATTTGTGCATATTTTCATGTGGTGCATTAATATTCTAGAATTTTCATTTGTGAAAACAACTTTGAATCGAAAACGTTCATGTTTCTTTTAGGGTTTTTACCCTCCTAATCATTTCAACTTTTGTTTTATTTTTCTTAAGTTGGTTGTTGTGATGTGAGTTCTATGTTTGTCGACCCTTGTGTATGTATTTGCAATTACTTTTGCTTGTGAGCATCATGCCTGTTTCATTTGATTTCCATGTAATATCCCCATGAAGTTGACTTATTTGCATTGGTCGTTACCTTCATCTTTGTCAAGATATGCATAAGTATTTTATCTTTCATTGAGTCTTGTAAGAACTCATCTTTGCTTGCCTATTGTAATACGCTTGCATGCTTTGGTTATAACCATTCCTTCTATTTGACGTACTTGCTTATCGTAATATGCTTGTATATGCTTGGTTGTAACCATGTATATTGTATTCATCCTGTTTGATCTTTATGCTTTGTTAAGTTTATTTTTCCCCAAGTGATGGAACTATTTAGTTCTCATCCAAGTTGTCTCCCCTTCTATTCTTCCAAAGGAAAGTCTCTCTTTTGACCTTTGGGTCATAGATAGCTTATCACCCTCCCTCGACTTTGTTAAGTCATCCATACACTTAGTTAAGTTAGAACCCGTCCTTTAGACTTTGCTTAAGTCTAAAAAGTCTACCCCTTGTCAGGAGTGCTCTTTCAATTAGAACTTAGGATAGAGTTTGTCAACTCTATGTAGAATCATGGAAATGATTACTTACTTCCCTTTCTCGAGTGTTCAACTTAGATCTAGAGAGTTTACTTAAACTCTGCACAAGCATTGTAATGTTTGTTCCCCTTTGAACCTTGATCGTAATCAAGTGTTCTTCATCCCTAGTGAGGTGAACTACGATTGCTCTGGTTCTATCCTAGTTAGGATACGTAGGCATAAGATGCAATATCTTTGCGAGCAAACTTAAGAATTATCTTTAGGTCTTTACCTACACCTTTTTATCCCAATCCACAACAAACACTTAGCAAGTATTAGCATACAAACAAACAAAAGGTTCATGTAGAGTACTACAGATGTCTAGGATGTGAAATACCTACCCTATGCATAACCAACCCCCATTCTCCGAATCTCTTAGCGTTTTTGTTACATCGCGCAAAAGGTTCTTTCTCTCTTTATACCTTTCCTTTGGATAAATTAAAGTCCGGTTATGAATTCAATGAATTAAAGATTCAAGTTAATCAATAGCTTGGCATCACGATTATCACCGCAACAAACATGAATATTCTCAATTAAATAATTAATTAAAATATTCCGATTAAATTTGGGGGGTTACAAGTATCCTCCAAAGAGCTCTCCTCGGATAGACCTCTCAGGATTTCTTCTTCTCTCTCGCGTGACATCTCCTTTACCTGAAAAGCAGGAGATAAAAGTGAATTCAATGACATAGTCAAATCCACCCTTCCATCATTAGTCAAGTGAAAGGGCTCGTGAAGGCCCGAGGACAACGTCCCCGACCTAAGCTCTACTCAAATAGCACAACTACGGTATGAGGAGGCGCTCGGGATAATCCCTCTAACACAAGCGGGGAAAGCTTCCCTGGGACGAAACCTAGAGTTTCCATTGGAGAACCACTAGAAAACTCATAAGTAGACCGAAAATTCATGGTTTCCACCGGCGACGAACGCTTCTGTATCACAATAACATAAGAATCAACTAAAAATCCTAAGCTTTTAAAGCTCCGACAATGCCGGCAGCAAAGGAAAATGGACAAACCACCGCCAGCCACTTACAGTCACCAGAAACAACCCATACACTACCTAGTTTTGCCTTAACCGCATGTGTTCTAAGAAGTAGAAAAATAAACCTATGACAAAAGATCAGTTCAAGTACTTACCTGGTCGATGAAGGAAATTTGGGGTCGAGGAGCTCTGGTTGGTGGACGTATAGTGGTCGGACGGTGTTAAACAGCGGCGGATTACAGAAGCAGAAAACGAGAGAAGAAAGAGAAACGAAAAGTGCAAATGAGCAGCTTCTCCCTCTATTTATAGACGGTCCATGGGCACGTGCACATGCACGTGCGGCTAGGGGCATCATCATGATCCTAACCTAGCCATCATTACACATTAAATGCAGCACATGGCTCGAGGCACGCGTGACACTTCACCTATTCAGATCAAATCAATCGTTGGTCTCCCCGTACTTTGAGCTCACTGCCTAGAAGTAGTACAAATTCCCTTGGGCATCGAGGAACAACTTCGTCCCAACGACAGGCGACGACCATGTCCGGTCCTCCCCGGGCTACAAACTGCCCTTAAGTCATCACTCTTATGCTCAGAGCAACGACTTAGGGGGCTCCTGTTCTGGACTGGCCCAATGGCTAGGCATGACCTAATCCACTTATACTCTCAGAACGTCCCAATTTCCTAAGTCCAGCAAATTTAGGGGGAGCATTTACCTTTCTTCCCCTCCGTCGGGGAAGGTTGGTTTGTTTACCCCTAGGGTCACCTACTTCTCCTTAGCAGTTCATGACTGTCACGCACGGTTCCACCATCCAGAAACAGTCACGACACATGTGCCCGTTACTGCGCCTGTGCCCGTAGCAACGACTAATTCTGGGCACCTCTGTCCATCCCAATGACTAGTCTATGGCAGTTACCTATTCTTCAGGAAACAATTATCTCGCCCCGAAAATAGGGACCAATGGCCAAGCGTTGGAGGCACTATAAAAACCCTCTCATTTGAGAGGGTCAGGTATTCAATAATTATCCTAACACACACACACTCTGTACTTGCCATCTTTTCTCCCGATTCTTACTTTAGTATCGAAGTGCCTTGCAAGTACACCCCCTCCTCATCTTTCACACTCAGCATCGCAGACGTTGCCTCTGGACCACTTCAGGTTCTGATCATCCGTCAAGATCACCTTTATCCCCTATTGTTGATGTACGATGCCTTGCATGAATTGTCTCATACTTATAATTTTACGGCGAACTAACAAAACCATTATAGCCAGTCCCCCACGAAATAACTCACTAACAACTATTAAAAGCTTTCTATCCCTAGTTCATCAATGTAAGCAGTGTTAGGCGATGAATATACCGTTAGTTCTCTGTGCCACGACTCGAGATATCATATCCCTATTCAACCGGCGTAAGTAGAACAATTATCCTAGGTTCAATACATAAGCTACGAGTCAGGAATCCCTATGCATCTTACAACATATTAACAAAGTATCTCAAATAATACACATTAAGCAAAAGAAACAACTGAATAAAATTATAAGTAATAAGGCTCATACAAGGTCAAACCACCATATAATGCTAACAAGATTGAATAAAGTTCATCACACACAATCTAACTTAGAGAATTTAGCTACTCATGATAAAATTACAATACCAATTGATAAAAGATGAATAACATGTGATTTTCCTTGAACGATTTTCCTCCAATGGCTTTCAATACTCTCAAAATCACCCTATGATATTGTAAAATAATGCTCCCAGTGCCAAATTTTGTCACTGTTGTAAAAGTGTAGAAAATCTCGTTTTAAAGCTGCCAGATCGCGTCAGAGAAGTCTAGAAAAAGCTATCATTGTGCGCATTACAAAATCATTGCGGGCGCGATGGTCCTTTGCAACTCTATCGCGTGCGCGATGGGGCGCGATGCTGCGCGCGATTATTCCAGTAGCTGCATGTTTTTTCGCCATTTTCACCAAACTTTTTCACTATGTCTCATTCTTTCATACTTTGTTTTTTTCACTCCTTCTTGGGAAATTCTTCATCATTTTAACTCATCTTTTACTCGTTTTTCCTCGATTCTTTGATTGATTTTATATAATAACGGATTGTTATCAGGCCGCTTGAGCGGTTTTACTAGACTACGTCCAAACGACTCATTTGTTAGGCGATAAATACCCTAAACTAAGACTTTGCCAAATAGGACACTACATTCTTTATTACTTATTGATACAAAATATTTTTATTTTAAATTTTTTTCTAGTATTATTAATGAAAATAATTTTCATAATTCTTTCTTTTCCTATCCAAAATTAATTATATTTTAAAAAATGTGAAATGGTAAAAAGCGAAAAAGCAAATAAAGGAAAAAACAAAAAAAGAGCAAAGAAAGAAGAAAATAACCCCCTTTCCTTTCTTGCACTTCGAAGCTATTGCTATCTGGTTCATTATTATTGTTGATGATGATAATGGTAACCTCTTAGATCATAATTACGATGACGAGTAATTGAAATCAAACCAAGAACAACAATCACTGCATCATCAGCAGCATCATTCAAGAGGCGATCATCATCGTACCATCATGTCGTTCTCGTTCTTCAAGGTTTCGAGGCCTAAAACGCCGCAGGAAGTGGTCAAGTCTATCAAAGAGAGTCTCATGGCACTCGATACCAAAACTGTTGTTGAAGTTAAAGCCCTTGAGAAGGTAACCCTCGTGAGATTTACACGATAATTATCATTCCCTTGTTCTGAATTATCAAGTTTTCTATCTGGGTCTTGGTTTTTTCAGTTAAATTTTCCGTTTTGAAACATGGGTGTGCCTTAAGTTTAGATTATTTATTATTTTAGTGTGTTTTTGTGTTATAAAGATATTATTTTTTTAACTGATTATTTTTATTATATATATGTGGTTTTGTCGGAGGAACGATTATCACTGCATTAAACCTTATATAACTCATAATAAGAGATTCTATATTGCAAGTCTTAAGCTTTCTGAAGTTTTACATGTTTCCCAGTGAAAGAGGTTACTCTGAATTTAACTCATGAAAGCTTTCTGATGGAAATTTGCTGGTTATATACTTCTAAAACTATAATTCTCTCTCTGTATAAAAAGGCTTTTTATGCATTTTGTTCTGATCTAGAACTCATGTTCACAACGGCGACGGCGGTTGGATGGTAGCTCATAGCTCGATGGCGGTGTTGATTGAATCTGGTAGGGAGGTGTATAAGCAAATACTAGTATTGGCTGTGAGTGTGAGGTTTAGAGTTAGACTAGTGTGTATGTATCGTGAGAGGTGATGACGGGAGGCTTATATATCTTTGAAGATGTGATATTGGGTTTGGATCTGCCAAAAGCCCGGTCCGAAACAGCATCCAAATGGGATATGATATTGGCTTAGTAAAATCCTATTTTGTGAAAATAAGATACTAGTAACTGATAACTGTTTAGAGAGAACAATTAGATACAGAACATGGCTAAACTGTCAAATTAGTTTCTGTCGGTAGGGTGCTCTCAAATCGGCCCTTGAGAGTATGAATATTTTAAAAAGGCCCTAGACTATGTCAAATTTTACTCATTAATCCTTCGATATTAATGTTAGGGACCAAACTGTTAGTAAGTTGCATAATATGATGACTTAATTGATAATAAGTTGTTATATATAGGGATTAATTTGACATTTTAATAGAGTCGGGGACCTTTTTGAAATATTCAGTGTCATGGATTAGTTTGAGAGTGTTCTGTGGTCATCTCGGGTAATGGCACATGTGATGGTTGTAGAATATGAACTTGCAGATTTAACACTCTTTCAAGTTAACATAGCATTGATGATAGAAACACTAGTATAATCAGAGTTTCATGTTACAGTGGGATGTAATTGTAAACATCTCTTTCATAAGTCAGGTTAATCATCTAAGAGGGTTGTGTCAGAGAGTTTGCTCCATAACAGATTGTTATATCTTTCACTATCTTCTAATTGTTATCATTTGGTTGTACATATTTACGTTTACGAGAAGAAAATTGTGTAAAATTATTCGATGTTTGTTATACTTTTTGTAGGCTTTAGAGGAAGTTGAAAAGAATTTTGTAACAATGAGAACTATGCTTTCTGGAGATGGGGAATCAGAACCGAATTTGGATCAGGTTTCACAGCTTGTGGAGGAAATCTGCAAGGAGGAAGTTCTTACTCTCGTAATTCACAAGCTGCCTATACTTGGATGGGAAGTAAGATTCCGATACAGAGCACTATCATATGCATGCAGTTGACTTAACTGGTTTCTCATTATTCGTGCGTGAATTTTGCTACAGGCTAGAAAGGATTTAGTCCACTGCTGGTCCATATTATTGAAACAAAAGGTTGACTCCAATGATTGCTGCGTAGAGTACATTAAACAACACTTTGAATTACTAGACGTTCTTGTTGTATAGTAAGATTCTTACTCCGTCCCCTTTGTTTGCTCCTCTTTCAATGTGGAATCACTATCGTTACTAATTGCATTCAAGTTAGTTGGCTAATACTGACGTTCTATGCTAAATTGAAAACATTGGATTTTGGTTTTTCTCTCGGTGTCTTTTGGATCCTTGTACTTGATATGATATCTGAAAATTTTGGCGAAGGATCGTCCGTAGTTGTTTTTAGTTTCTGAAAGTGAAATCTCAAAATGACTGTGCTTTTTGTCAATATTACTATCTACTATTATCCTGTTTTATTCATGCATTACTTAGCAAAACACTGCAGTTAATTTACTTATAAACTTTCAAATTTTTTACTTCATAAAAGCATTTATTCTGTTAAAGCATTAACAAATGACCTTTCAGCTAAGTTTAAAGTATAAAGTGAACCTCATTGACCTTACTCAAAATCATGGATGAAACCAAATTTTCTTGTTGTTAAGGATTTATGTGTAAATACATTGGAATCTTACATTCACTTTTATGTGTTCTAAAAGGTTTATGAAATTATTATGGTGATAAAAAGGGATTTAGGTAAATGTGAACACGCAACTTGTGTTTGTTTCTCTTCAGCACCGATACCTTTGGAAAATAAGGCTTGTTGGTCTCCTAAACTGACACCGACACTTGTGATTACATTTAATTTATTCATGTTTTTCAAATTATTATCGGTGTCGGTCTCATGTTTCTGGTGTCCATGATTCATAGTTTTGTATACATTTTCCATTCATGATACAAATTTGACCAAAATAAATTTATACCTAGAATATACTGAGATATAACATGTCTGTGTAATTAGAAATTGTCTAGTGCTATGTGATGAATACAATTCGTTTAAGTAGTTGCTGACATCGCTGTATATATTTCCAAACAGCTATGATAACAAAGAAATTGCGTTGAGCTCTGGAATAATGTTGCGGGAGTGCATCAAATTTCCCAATCTTGCAAAGTAAGATATTTTGGGTTGTCATCAAATGCGCTTTCCCCTGATTTTTATGTTCAAATTCTTTTAAATCGTTCTGATATCTTCATTGTAAACTCAACTTGATTTTGCCAAGATTTTGATGTGAACAGAAAAAGGTAAGTCAGTTGAAGTGTTTTAACTTTCTGACTCTTTGGGTGTTTTCAGATACATATTGGAATCTGCAAGCTTTGTGTTGTTCTTTAAATTTGTAGAGTTGCCTAACTTTGATGTATCATCGGATGCATTTTCTACATTTAAGGTCAGATTTGAATTCTTTCTCGCCTCTTTAAGTCTTATAATGACTTACCGTGCTGTTTGCCTACAGCCATTTCATACATCTCTTTGGATATGCTTGCTTTGCAGGACCTTCTCACTAAACATGGAAATGTAGTCGCCGAATTTTTGACGGCTCACTATGATGAGGTTTGCGTCCTTCTTGGCATACTTATCTTATTTGAACATATCAAGGCAGCACAAAATGCTGCTTGAGAAACAACTATGCCCATGCTTTTCTAATAGGACTTCTTGTTCCCAGTTCTTTGATCAATACGAGAACCTCTTGACGTCTCCAAATTATGTCACAAGGAGGCAGTCTATAAAGGTCTTTTCTGTTCTGCCAACGATTTTAAAATGTTTATGCTTTCTGATCACATCTTTGACTTTAACAATTAAATTTATATGGATTTTAGCTTCTCTCGGATTTTCTTTTGGAATCTCCCAATGCTCAGATAATGAAGCGCTACATCTTAGAAGTTCGTTATTTGAAAGTCATGATGACATTGTTGACGGTATAGCTCCTTTTAATCTTGTGTCATTGTGCGAAATTCCTCGGTTATCCACAAGATTAATTAATATACTTACATGATTGAGCAGGATTCAAGTAAAAACATTCAGTTATCAGCTTTTCACATTTTCAAGGTAATTTTTCCGCTTCATGTTTTCAAGTAAATCGATAGACACATGTGTACATTTGGATCTTTGTTTTATTTATTCTTATTACATGTTTATCCAGATTTTTGTGGCTAATCCTAATAAGCCTCGAAACGTGAAAATTATTCTCGGGAAGAACCAGGAGAAGCTGCTAGGACTGCTTCATAACCTATCGCCGGGAAAAGGTTATTATATTTTCAGTTGATTCAAAACATGTAGTGAGTAACCTATTTTTTTCGAGTTACTAATCTTAACTCGTTTCGGTTTTCAGGTTCCGAAGATGAGCAATTTGAAGAGGAAAAGGAGTTTATCATCAAGGAAATTGAAAGAATATCAGTATAAGTAATTTGATGCAAGGAATTTCATATTGGTGTTTGTGAGCAACTAACGAGTTTTTATGTGGACAATACACCATTTTTGTTTGTATTGTAAAGTGTAATGCAAACTAAATTTAAGGCATAAACCAATAACATTGCTTTGAAACTAATAGTAATTAGGTGAGTTCTTATTACAAAAAATAGCGATTAGGTGAAATCCATCAAGAAAAATATAGTAGTTAGGTGAAAATGCTTTTGTCACCCCAAAAAAGAAAATCATCACCCTTATTGAAAGCATTTTGTTTTACCTATATGCTTTTCAAATAGATCAATTTCACAGTAACAATATTTTCGTAAACTCTTCATAATAAGAATTTACAGTTGTTATTAAGAGCTTAAACTTAATGCCATCTTGGCTGAATCCAGACACCAGTCAAGTGTTCTCTGACATGATGAAAATTGATCACTTGATCATTTTGGAACGTGTGGTAGTTGTTTGTTTCTAAAGAATAGAACACAAAATTCTGCCCATAAAATCTTGGAAAATAAATTTTGTTTTCCATTCCAGGAATGTTTGCCACAGCAGAAAAGGATGTTTTGCCAACAAAAAGCATGTGATTTTTTAGGCTTTCTACTTTGATCCATGTCATTGTAGACTCATTCAACTTGAAAACTTGAACCCCCTTTGCCATAGGACTCTCAAATACTGACAATAGATTGCCATCACATTCAACTAGAAAGTTGTTGAAGCAAGTATTGCATGGAGCTTGAGGTTCCTGAAGTACTTTCCAAGTATTGTGTTCTGTTGTTGCTTCTACAACCGCTAAGTTTCCTGTTATGCTAAGAAAATAAAATAATCCATTATGAAAAGCAGGACTTACATTGTAGACATGAAATTCCCTGTCTTCAAAGCGGAAAAGCAGTTGACTTCTATCCCAAAGGTGTCGTAAATATATTTTCGTTGAGAATTTTTTATCCATCTGAACAGTCACACATTCTGAAGAGGTTGGAGAATGCGACATGCCAAAACAAATAGTATTTTCGATTATTTTATGCAAAAGTGGTAGCATTTGTTTTGTAAAAGGATTGAAGAAAACTCGAAATTCTTCGTTAACCGACACCATTAATAGCCAACCATCTTTTGAATAACAATTTTCTGAATTCAAACTACAACCATTATGTTGAGGAAAGTTTATGTTGTATTTGTACTCGAGACCATACTTCGGATTCACAAAAGTGAAGATATTGTCCTTTGAGAACACAAATAAAGGACACATTGAGCGATCATCAAACCTTGACATGGAAGAAGATGATCTCCATTGAATCCGTGGTGCGGCTAGACGAAGGAATTTATTGCTAGCTCGAAAATGCATATAATCAAGCACACCATTAATATGTTTTGCAATCAATTCAACCAATTCTAGAGGAAGTACACATTCATCATAAGTTTTTTCCTCTGCTTCCTTTAAATAGACTGGATCACAAATACTTTTTTTCTCTCTAAGTTCTTCTTCGAGTGAATTAGCTATCCTACAAAACATATATATTGAAAGAATAAACAGATTAAAAATAGTTGTTATATAAGGACTAACATATTTTTGAAACAAATGTGACAAAAAAGAAAATACTCTGTATCTGGCATGAACCATCTTGAGTAAGATCGATTTTCTGATAAATTAGAGAAATGATGAGAAGTTACAAAACAATTGTCTTGGATGTTGTAAATATAGACAAAATTGCAGTTTGTGAGGGCGATATAGACACGGCCTCCTTCAGTTTCTTGATTAATTGCTTCACAAGCAAATGCCGAGTCAGTACTAGATATATAGAACACTTTATCTTTGATGCTTTCCACTTTTTCCCACAATCGTCGAGCACAATCAAATTTGTAAACAAAAACTGCAGTAACCCTATCATGTTCATGGCAAATTTCTACTCGAAATAGCACGTTGTTGGATCCAATCAAGTGACTAATGAGTTGTTGAAAACTAGTTGGTTGATGGTTTACCATGAGATCGGTTGTGCAGTTTATTGTAAAACCATTAAGAACCTTTTCAATAACTACTATAACAGAATCAGAGTAATAGCGAGTCACCAAACACGCATAGACGCGACCGTTGCAGTAAACTGGCTTATCAAAATATGCTTCTCTTTCCTGCCTAAGTTCTTTACTCTGCATGGCTAAAGCGCTCACAACATATTTATAAAAGTGCACTTCAGTCCATTGCGCATCTCCGAGTTGGTAGTAAAACATCGAAAGGCTATAGGATGGAAATATAAAAATGGAGCAAGTTTGATCATCATTTGCAGATGGAGGAGATGACAAAATGCAACGAAAATTAGTGCCATCGTCTACGTGTACAAGAGGCGGGAGCATGATTTTCTTAAGGTTACATGGACTCCAAAGAAACAAGTTACTACTAACATATTCTGATAACAAGTTTTTGCAAAGATACCAACCGTGTTGTACAGTTAGTAGCATTGGTTCTCTCAAGGCTGAATTCCATGTATAGTAGTATTTGGATGGATCTGATATGCTGCAAAAAGTTTGATGAGGTTTTCGGAATTCACCGTCGCCGCCGGTGAAATACATAAGCAAAGGTTTTCGATCTCGTTCCATCTCGGAACCTCTCTCTTTCTCTTTCTGCATCATGAAACAAATTCAAATCATTTTATCTATTCCGAAGTAATGAATTGACTCAGATAAGTTAAAATAAAATTTAATCACAAGTAACTCAACATTTAAAAATACCATCGAAATAATTTAGGGTTTAGGGAATAATGGAATTTTACCTTTAGTTTGTATTCTAAATACCTGTTTAAGAAAGTAAGAAACTCCATTAATCACAACAGAAAAGCTTCAATATATCTAGGGTAGGAATACACCAAATATTAACACGCACCAACAAAGAAAAACCCTAGCATATATATCCTTAGCAACAAGAAAAATAGCTTAAATTTAGTTAAGCAGCTAAAAAAATATTTTCTTCTGTTTATTATTTGTTACTCATGCATATTTATAGTAACAAACAAATCATAAAACTTATAATTAAATCAATTAATATTAATATGGTTTATATCACCGATTATAATTAAACTAACTGATATTAATTGAATTTAATTGAAATGATTTTACACAATCAATTAATTATAAATGTTAGATGTGGATAAATTTTTTTATCATTTCTTACTTAATTCTCTCTAGTACATAACTTCTCACCTACATAATCAATCAAATTCCATCATTTTTTAAAATATGTTCCATTATATGTTTCATTATGAAAAATCAATCAAATTTGTTTCGGCAGGGAGGGGCCGGACACTACAAGAAACATTGCATTTTCCCAAGTGATTTTCACGTCACTGACTCAAAAACCACTTCACTAACCAACTTTTGCGACGTGGGTGTTTTCCTCGAAAATCGGAAAACAACCGCTGATCTTCCAAATCTAACTTTGGTGACTCACAGGATCGATCAGATTGATCCTAGGACATGTGCTAAAAGAATTATTTTTGGTTTTAAGGATTTATTCAAGTTCCACACTCGAACAGGGTTGGGATAAACAGAATCCTAAAAGAACATCTATTCGACTACGGGTTAATTTAAAGGTAAAGTAAAGCTTCTAATAAAAGAGAAGAAAGTTTGTTGGTAAAGGTGAAGTTAGATTGAGGACGAAGAGAAAAGAATTACATAGGAAGGAGAGAAATAAGGTAAGGGGGAAAAGGGGTAAAGACAATAAAGGCAATAAAAGACTTTGTAAAACTTAAAGTAAAAAAAAACAAGTAAATTGCATTAAGTTAAAAGATGGTGTGTTTACATCACGTACATTCTCTCACAATACTCGCTTTCTCTACACTCGGATACTTGGAGTAGTTTCAAGAGTAATTTGTACAATAGTAAATTACAACACACTTTGTATATGTCTAAGACACTCTATTTATAGTAACAAAAAGTAACCTCTCATAACTTCCACCATAATCTCCTTCCGCCACTTGTCTCAAATGCATGGATCCATTATTCATAAGGTGACACGTGTCTCCCTCAATTTTCCACAAGCAAAATCGCTCCCTCAGAAATTCAAATTTCAAATACTTCGACACACCATTCGTATCAGCAGGCGGTCGAACCCTTGGCATCTGGGTGAGTTCTTCGACTTAGCTTTTTCCTTCTTTCGACCATTTTCTTGCACTCAAGCTATTCTCCACCCTTTTGTCTTTGATACCTTCTTTCTAGCTGAGGCGTCGAATTTAAGAGCTAACAAATTGCCCCCAAAAATGTCTTTTCAACTTCGACCGTGGAAAAGCACATTTTTTGACAATGTATGACCTTCGACACCGCTTTGCCCTCATGAGTGTCGTCTGATACTCTTTCCACCAATGTAAGCCTGAGAAACTGAAAGGGAATGAAAGAGAAAAAGAAAAAATAACTATGAACACGCAAGCTACTGTTCCGCCGTCTAGATGCACGTTTTATGACGTCATTATCATCATGGCTATTTCCTCGGGACTCAACAAAATCGTGGGCCATCATCACCCTTCCATCCTCGGGGACGTGATTTGCAACTACTGCCTCTGCCATTCCACATCCAAGCATACACGTGGCCCACTAACTCTAGCCCCTTAATGATGGAAACTCTCAGTCTTTCACTCACTATATAAGTAATTTCCCTTTGTTGTTTTCATTTTTTTTTTACAACTTCTCTAACTCCCCATAACTTTCCTTGCTTTTTCTCTAATTTTCTGCTTTCAACCAACCAACTCTTACTTCTTTTAACAATGGCTGATCATCAAAGAAAGAAAATGCAACCTAAGGGACAAACTTCTGCATCCACACTTCCTCCCTTTGCTAGCTTGAGCGGCCCCTAGACGGTAAAGAATCAACAGTTCATCCTCGAACCCCTGACGGAGGAGAAACGCCACATTTACGAACTCAGGTAATCATTCATGTTACTGTTGCAGGGAGACCTTTAGCCATGTCTGGGCCTTTACCCCCTCCAGGTCTCGACTACTCCGCCATCAAAGATT